AAAGCACCATCTGGGAACACATTTGGTACAGTGGAGTATGACACATCCTTCAGTCATGTTGCATTGTCTTTGAGTGACTCTCTACCTCTCTCTGTCATCATGCACAAGTATAGGAAAGCAAATGTTAGATTTAAAAGGAAAAAGCGTGGCATTAAATGAGAAGTTTATCACATTTATTTAAAAATATATATTTTCTTCTTCCAGGTGGCCGAGATCCAAATCCTGTCCAGTCGGTTGGAGGTGCAAAACAAACATTTGAACTCTGATCTGCAGCAGTGTGAACGCAGTCGCAGTGAGGCGATTGCTGATGCCGCCCAGCAGCTACAGCTCAAGCAAAAGACTCACGACGACCAGGTAGATTACATTTGTGCATAGATGATAGATGTGTGGGTGGGAAATTGGAACCAAGGGAGAGATCCATGGAACAACCCAATTTCCTCAGTCATGTAACCATGACTGTAAAAATGACTGTTTATGATAATCTGTTTTAACAAGAACCTGAATCAAACTGTAACATAGAAAGATGAAAGTGTAAACATTTAAAATAACATATGCATATTTTCTTCAGGTGGAGAAATTACTGATTGAGCAGAACCGGCTGAGAGATCAGAAGAAGCTGCAGGAAGATAGTTTGGCCTTGAAAGAGAAAGAGCTTCAGAACCTCCAGCAAATGCTCTCTGCTCAGCCCAATTTTAAGGTAAAATAAACACCAGCCAGAAATATGAATATGTATGTACAGAAATATAAAGGGAAATTAGGGAAAGCAGTGCCCACAAATGGTATCAAACGTTCTTCATGCCAGTCAGGGGATTCAAACTGGCAACCAACTGGTTAAAAATACCTTTTGTTTAAACTTTAGGCATGTGGTTGAATGTTTTGTATCTGGCTTTCTGGCACAAGAGTACCTCCCATCCCCTTGCTTTTAAATAAGATTTATTCAACTGATTTTACGGACAGCAGTGCAGAGGTAAGGTGGTATGTTTGGACTCAGCAGAAAAGAGGAATCTGAGAGCAGCAGCAGGAAGGATGGGCAGGCAAGATAACAAAGAAAAAACATTTTTTTAAGAAGTCATAAGTTCACGATACGCCCCATTTCAAACTCCACAGTTATTAGTGTATCGTGTAGTTGTCCATGCAGTCAGGGAAAGCTGTACAAATGTGGTATCTGTGTTTAATGTTAAAGAATACTGAAATCATTGTATTTGTTTTCCAGTCCGGTGTGCCTAAAGCAGCAGGAGTACCTGGCATCAGCAAAACTCCAACGGTAAACTTTATATTGACTCAACACCGTAATCAGATTACTGTTAATACAAAGTGTAATTACAGTAAGTGCCACAGTGTATAGAGCAAGACAATTTTGAATTTATAAGACTGATGAGCAAAAGAAAACCCCTCAAACTTTCATGTTTTATTAAAGTCGGCCCAGTATGAAATTCATTATGAAACAGAGTTTAAACAAGACTGAGAGCCAACAGCCATTGTGAGGCTGTTTCCAAGGCACAGCTAATGTCAGCATGCTAACATGTTGATGTCAACGGGTGTAATGTCAACCATGATCACTATCATAGCTGATCATTTTATTAACTTTTGCTAAGTATCACAAAACACAAAGTACAGCTGAGGCTGATGGGAATCAGTTTTTGCAGGTATTTAGTTATAAACAAAAATATTGGACAGTTTAAATATTTGACCTGATGATGGCACCAGATGAAAAGTCAGTTGGATTCATTTTCTGACCGTGAAAGTCTGTAGATTTCCTGCAGTCTTTGAGATATTTCAGCCTGGACCGACTGACATACGGACATTGCCAACCCTAGAGCCACTATTATGCTAGCATGGCTAAAAATAGCAAAAAAACAGACAAAACTTGACTTCCTCAATGCTTGTATTTGTGTGTCTGTTCCTCCTCAAATCAGTTCTGTTTGTCTCTTATTCAAATATTTAATTCTGTAAACTGTATAAATGTTGATTCCAGTATTCAGATTTTTAGACAACCATGTCATCGATAATGAATTATAATTTTTGTTGTTTTGTTTTCCAGGTGAGATGAAATGAACCGGCAGAATGACTGAAGGCACCAGTGGCGCTCGACAGCGATCAACATTGTGCCTTTAAAAGAATTTAAATGACATGTACATATTCCTGATACAACACATTTTAACACAACCTGTAAATACTCCATGTTAATGACATATTTACTGTTGTCGGTCTGTGCATGTTTTGTTTAGCTCTACTTGGAATAGATGATTAATATGTGTTTTACTTGTGTTTGAGTTTAAACATTTGCTGTGAAAAGCCTTGGTATCTACCCAGGTAAATGTAAAAATGTTCATGACACTGGTGTAAATATTTTCTATTGTGTGTCACTCACTGTGGTTTGTGTCGTTGGCTTGTATTTAGTGTGGAATTCAAATTAAATTAACCAAAAAGGGACTCACTCCTTAACTTCGGTCTCTTTTGTCTCTCTGGCACAAAAAATCACAACAAAGACTCAGACAGGACATTTATGTTTCCTAGTGATTCACACGTTTGAATTTCTACCGCAACCCGGATGTCAATAGATTCAACAACCATGCCATAAACACGCCATCACATGGCTAAAGGTTTAGAATGTAAGTCTATTAATTGCCATTTTATGGCGCATTTTACAAGTACAGTAGCTGTTGTATGAGTTATATTGTCAATCTTTACTACTTCCTCTTCCTTTCATAAGCACAGGGCGATGAGCACATATAGCACTGAGGCTGGAAACAGCTGGTGTGCTGTTTTTTTTACGATTATTTTGGTTTTAGATTGAAGAGACTGAAATAAAAAAAAGATGTAAGATGTAAGTTTATATGGTGTAAATTGCTTTTGTAATCTGACTGGAGGACTGCCTCTTTACCACTACTTATGTAAAAACTGTATACTTTGTAAAGCAACAGAATATAATAGTATAATATTCAATTAGTAATAATGTCTGAGGGTAACGTATGCAGATATTCAGGTTTAGTAGACCTATTACGATATAAATATATTTATCTTCTGGACTTTTACAACATTAAAATAATGATATTATGGTCATCATCTTATAAATCTTTAAATAAATAATGTTATAAAGAGTTCGGTCTAGACCCGCTCTATTTGAAAAGTGTCCTGAGATAACTTCTTTAATGAATTGGCGCTATACAAATAAAATTGAATTGAATTGAATCTTTCCTTATTTCTTTTTTAAAGAACATATTTATATACACAAATGTACTTACTACTCATGATTTCCCACAAGTTGACATTTAAAACCAAATACTCTCTTTTTATAGTTCCTACAAATTCTTTCTAACATGAATGTGACATGAACGTAAGGGTTTTAATATTGTTTAGTTTCTCAGAGTTTGGTATTTTTGAGAAGCTTTAATCGGAAATGGAAAAATTACATTTAGACAAAACAAATATTTAAATAGCTCCTTCCATGTTACATAAGAAAACCCATGAAGATAAACTTCCAGCTTCACTGCACTGATGGATGTGAGTGTTACAGGTGAGTGAGTCTGCCTCCTGTCCTCAGGAAATCCTTTGTTTAACATAAAGTATTTTCGATCCCATGCATAGACCTGAACACACTCGCACACAGCCTGACTTTAAGTCAAATGGGTACTGGGTGGAAGTGGCTGTACTAGACCCCGCCTACGTCAACCTCCCATCTCAGGACAGCCATTAATCAAAAGCACAGGAAACTGACAAACAGCTGAAGGTGCCACTTTGCGTTCCCTCTGTGCTGCTTAGGATCACTGCCCTTAGGGGGCTTAGAGATGAAAGACCTTTTTTCACAGCAGCCATTTTGACATAAAATAGTAGGGTAAACACGTGTTATGGATTACGTTAATTAAGGTTCAGTTCCATTCTGGCCAAACAGAATCAGAGTTCTGCTATTGTGGATGTTCGCTTACTGGAAAGGCTCTGCTACACTAAATGGAACAGAGCCTTAATTAGTGTCATTGGTAGCACCTGTGTTTACCCTACTATTTAATGCTAAAATGGCTGCTGTGAAAAAAGGTCTTTCATCTGCTCATTAGTTAACAATAGTATTCACTTAAAAGACAAACTGAGAATATTATGATCAAACCGTTAATAGTGTATCACTTAGTTTAAATCTTTGTTTGCCTCTGCATTAAATTTGATCCTATTTATTCATATCTTTCACTGTACTGTAATATTTACTGCTATTATTAAGTTTGTTTATTCACTGTCATTCCATTTGACCATGCTAGCGGCGAGCTGTAGTCAATCTCAGTCCATCTGTTCGTCACTTTGGTCCAGACTGAAGTATCTCAACAACTATTAAGTTAATTGCCACGAAAGACACAAAAAAATCATCTTCTCCAGAGGATGAAACCTACTGACTTTGGTGATCCTCAGGCTTTAGTGATAACTTCAGGTTGACATTTGTGATTTTTAGGGAAAGGTTTTGACAGCCAGTGCAAGGACTGCCATTAACTTTAGCACAGATATCCATGTTCCCCCGAGGATGAATCCTAATGTTTTTTGTGATTGAAAGTCATATATGAATTAATTTAGGACTTATAGTGACATTCTGTAGGACTATATAGATAGATTTAAATAATCTTATTGTCAATTATTAAATATTATAATTAGAGAACTTGGCTACTTGTGTTAAGACACTTAAAAGTCTGAAGAAAAGTCTGAAAAGTTGAGGAAAAGTCTGGGGATCACATAAGAATACTGCAACGTCTGTACAAAGCAGTAATGTAGCGATACTTCACTGGATAAGTGAAGCTTTGACCTGCTGGTGGCGCTAGAGGAAATGTCACCAAATTATATAATGTAGGGTACATTTTATGGTAATCCATGTTATATTCAATTCAGTTCAATTCAAAATAATTTATTCGTCCTTCAAGGGCCAATTTAGTGATGAATACAGTATTCTGAACTGAATTGAATATTATACGGATTGCCATTAAATGTGCACTCGATTAAAATATTAAGATATTTTAGTCTGGACAAAAGTGGTATTTCTTTATTTATTGGCAATTACTATCCAACACATTTTACAATTGTGGTAAACATGATCCAAAGGGTATCACATTCAGCTATACTTCAAAGACGAACCAGGCCCCAAAATTTACTGCCTCTAAATTGTACGACAGTCCCACTTTTAGCTTAAACTTCCCCTGTGTTGTAATTAATCAGGGAGAACATGAAAGAGGACAAAAAGGCTGACAGAGCGGCCTGGAAAGAGGAAAGGTCAGGTAGCAGAGACGGAGAGAGACAAAAAGGCAGCGAGAGAGAGAAACAGGCAGTTATGCTGGTGTAAAGCGGTGCAAATGTCGTCAGAGACAGGGAGAGAAGAAACCAACTGGGGAAGAAGGGTGAGGAGTTCAACAAGGAAACATAAATATTTGATCGAGGCCAGATTGACAGGGGAACAAAAGGTACAGAGAACATCGCCTTAAAAACGTCCCTTTCCCACAGAGGAGAGAGGAGCTGGGTCACTCTGACTTTCTTTACATACTGTATGTCTATTATGTTGTGCTTTATGGTGGGATCTCGACTAAAAATGTAGTTCACAATGGAATAAATCAGAGGCTATACAGTATATGTAGTAAATGTGATGATGACAGCTACTGCAATCTTTGTAAGAACAGGTAATATTATAGGTTTAATGTGATGAGGGTATGAATATGTGAAGTGCATCATGCAAGTGCTTGATTACAGTAAGAAGCTGATGCAGCTTTAAACATGTAATGACATGCAAAAATCTATTCTAATTTAAAGTTAAACTAAAAAAATATTTATATATTAGCAAATAGCATTAGGATCAAAATGACTGAAAGTAACTAAGTACATTTATTCAAGTACTGTACTGAAGTACAATTATGAGGTACTTTAGTGTTTGCAGTTACTGCTGCTTTATACTTCTACTCCACTACATCTCAGAGGGAAATATTGTACTGTAACCAGCTGGGGAACATTCAGTAGTGGCACATTTAGCAGCCAAAGAGCCAAAGACACATCCTTAGGGAGTTGGTAGAGACAAAAACTTATGTATGTGTTGAAACACGATGCAAACATTGCTCTGCTGGATGTGTAAATAGGCAACTAATACAACTAAAACACATCTACTAACAACTATTAGACAAGAACACGTTAATATTGTGTTTACAGCTTGTCGCACTGCCTCCTTGTTGTAAAAAGAGAGATAAATTTGATTTGATACAAAAACACTCATCATCCCATTTATTCAACATCAAAGATCCCATGTGACATGTTTTAATTATGTATAAAATAAATGTCTTCATTTTAAATATTCATGTGGACAATTCACACATGAACACAGGTACATTGTTTGCTAATTAAATTAATGTCACAGCAAAGGATTTAGAGTTGCCCTACAAAGTTTCAGGTGTCAATGTGTGAATTTCCACTAAACACACACACAAAGGAGTAGAGCTGAAATGATACCAAAAATAATATTCTTCATTGTCCTGCAGTACAAGTAAACATCTAGACTCGTCCATGACCTTGCAGATGTCTGCAGCTGGCTATATTTTAAATGATCTTGGCTGTTATGTTGCGACCCAAGAGCCCTATATTCACCTATCAAAGGCTTTCAAAACCTATTTTTAAAATTACGACTCAAGAATTTGCCGAACACTTGTCCAGCATATTGGGCCTCTGAGGCACCTGTCATCACGCTAAAACTATTTTAGTCTGTTGAAAAGCATCAACAGAAAACAAACATTTCTGTGTCTTGGGAGAGTGATCCTGCAGCCAAGAACATGAATTTCATTCTTTTTTCCCTCGCTGTGCCTCGAAGCCTGGCGTAGTGCCGAGGCTGTAGCTTTACTGATACCCTGGGACCAAACAAGAATGCAGCCTTCCTCTCTGAGCAGGCTAATGTTACATGTATTTTATGTTTTTGCTGCTACTCATCCAACTATTTCCCAATGCAGAAGTCTTTGAAGATGATATCCAGGATCTCCTCTGCCCCGACCCGTCCAGTGATCCGGCCCAGGCTGGTGAGAGCCAACCGGACACCCTCAGCTGCCAGGGCCAGGTCGATGTCGCGGTACTGCTGGTACTGAGCCAGGGCCGCAAAACACTGCTGCAGGTGGGCCCTGTGGCGGGCCTGGGTCAGGGTGGGGGCACCAGACAGAGGGTCGCCACACCTAAAGAGGAAGTTAGAGAACAAAATGAACCAGAGCAATCAAAAACTCATTATTTTGTGCTTCATTTTGTATTTGTACCATCAAGAAAGGGTGAAAACCAGACCCAAAAAGCAAACATAGAATTCAGTTGCAGCACAAACATTATGCATTTTAATTTAATTTAATTTAAAGCCTTTTAGAGTAGGTTTTGAAAAGTTCAGACTTTGCTGACATGCTGACCTGATCAATCTTTCTGATGTAACATTTAAATGAGACATGTTGTCTTAGCTCCGACACAACAAAACATTATAAACTGTAGCTACTCACAGAGTCTTGACATGGCTGTGCAGCACTGTGAGGAAGTCCTGCAAACCTTCATTATTGTGGCAAGAGATAAGACAAAAAGGAGAGAGTCCAGAGACCTGTCTCAGCTCCCCGTCCAGCTTCAGCTTCTGCTCCTGGGGCAACAGGTCTGTTTTATTCAGCACTAGGAGAAACCTGTTTGCAGGAAATACTGTGGTGGGAAAGGAAGGCAGAAAAAAAATCAATACCAGTGACTCAACTATTACTCCCTCAGGCCCAGAGATTTCTATTAGATTACTCTTGATGACTTAAAAAACTCTCTTTCCAGCCTGCACACTTGCTTAATTTATCCCTAGGGTAAGTAGTACTCGAATTACTCCCCAAGCCGTTTAATAATGTAGGATGAAGCTGTAAGTGAGCAACTGGTGTCACAATAAATTGCATTCTTGAGATAACAAGGTAACTCAGCATTTTAATTTCAAGTCTTGTGTAATACCACTTTTCAAAGCTGTTTAAAGGAGAAACGTGACTCACTCACTAATTTTACCGCAACTTTACAATGTATATTTACTTTATTGTGCTTTTAAAATACAGTTGCAAGTATCAGTGACAATCCAGGTGAAGCGGTGAGCAGATGAGGGCTAGATATCATACCCGTCTCAGGCTGCTCCTGGCTGGGCAGGACACTCCTGAGGTGTTCTTGAAGGAAGGCTGAAGCTTGCTGTGCATCAGAGGGAAGATTAGTACAGTCCACAACCACCAGAGTCAGATCAGCCTGCTCCACTCTGGAATATAAAAAGAAATCAACCTCAACCTTTAACCTGGAATTATACATATAATCACAGCTTTTGTCAAGAATTTAACTCTTAAAATTCACACTGTGTAGATCAAATGGCAATTATTGAAATTGTTATATTATGATACACCTGTTGTCCTTCTCTTGTCTCGCAGGCTGCAATAGAGTCATTCGACTGTCCTGGGTAAAATAAATACTTCTACCCTCTTGCTATTATATCTACATTAATAATGTTTGTTAGTATATTCATGTTTTAGCCACACTAACGGTCTGGCTCTGAGGATGGTAATACTGGTTGTTTGGCTGGTCCGCCACTGTGGTCCGGACTGAAATATCTCAACAACTATTGGATGGGTTGCCATTAAATTTGATACACACATTCATGTTATAACTTTGGTAGTCAAGTAATCATCAAGTCAACATTTTTATTTGTCTAATACCAAATACCAAATAGCTATAATGACATTTCGATCAGCCTCAGCTATACTTTGTTTTAACTGCTAATTAGAAAACATCAGCATGCCAACCTGTTAAACTAAAATGGCAGACAAGGTAAACATTATATCTGCTAAAATCTACATGTCAGCGTTTAGCTTTAAGCACTTGCTTCAGCCTATCAGAGCTGCTAGCACGGCTGTAGGCATGGTGACTACGTAAATCGTAAGTACTCTGTAAGTACTCACACTGGTCCCACAGTGAAGTGACAGCAGCAGCAGCAGCGGATGCTTGTACTTACAATGTCCTTCCTGTAGTGACCCAGGTCACGAGCCTCTGACCTGCTCCCTGCACAGAAAGTTCCCTACTGAACACAAACTGGCCACCCTTCCTACAGAGCCACCACGTCACCCAAATAACTTAAACAAACAGTAAAAGAATTACATAATGTTTGCACTAAAAATTTTATTTTTGTAATCACAACTTCATCTGGATATTTATTAATGTTATTTATCAGATTTTCCTGCAGAATGAGTCACCAAACTATTACAAGTCATGATGCAGCGAGTCTCCTTACATGTTCTACCACATATACTTTCAAGGTTTACGTCGCAGTGTAAATGTAGTGATTCCACTGTAAAAATAATTTTGTACTCTTTATAAGAGTAACTAACTTTATAAGAGTACAGTCTCGCACAGCTCTACGAATTGACTTAATTGCTGTGTCAAATGCTTTATCCCCCTTGCCAAGAAGAAGTACTTGGGGAAACAAATTTGTTTTCTGGCATGAAAATTGTCATTTTTTATTGGATTATTTGCTGAAGTTCTGTCAAGCTGAAGTCAACTGTCAGGCAAGGCAAGACATTTCTTTTACTTTAACCTGTTTTTTTCTTTTAGCTGTTGAATATCCTTTCACACTATAATACAACAAACAAAGTACAAAGACCGGAAACTTCAACCTATAAATCAATGAATAATCAATGTGGGGTTGTGTTTTTAGGCCCATCCCACTTTCCCCTGCTCTCTAGCACCAAACTCATGTGATAAAACATGTCACTGCACATGTGTATGAAAGCTTATTAATAAATTGTGTGTGTGCTGCTGTGTCCATTAGTCTTATTGTCGGTTTGTATATGATAAAGCAGTGATGGCGGGCGCTACAAGTACTGCTATTCTTCCCTGACGTAAACAGTGGAAGCAGCTGTCAGTGAATGGCCATATATGTCCATTCCCAACACCACACATGAAGAATGTCTTAATACTAAATAGTCACGGGAAAGGAGGCTCTTCATTACGCAACCTCCTGAGAGTGTTTGTCCCATGTATTTATAACTATGGCTCAGCAATAATATAAACTCTGGAGCTCACATAGACATTACAAAAATATATCTGGTTCGGAGGGGAAAAGCAATGACTTATTTCTTCCCTTCTTTGTTTTCAAGGACTTATTCCATTGGTCCCCTGTCTAATTTGTTCTGTGTTATATTATCACACATGGGAACTGTCGCTGAAGCAGTATCTACACGTACTAGTGCGCATATACTCCACATGTACTCCTACCCAGCAGCTGAAGCCTATCTCTCCAAATACCAGCATTCATTTCTCTTTTTTTGTCTGCCTAATTAGAATTTTAAAAGCAGGAAAACTGAGCTAATATTGAATATTTAAAATAAAAAGGGCTTCATCCACCTACCTTTCTCGAGCCCGGCGGACTCCTTCTCTCTCCACCAGGTCGGGGCTCTCTCTGAGGCCGGCTGTGTCACTCAAGAGGACAGGGAATCCGCCAATGTCCAGTGCCGTCTCTACTACGTCTCTGGTGGTGCCAGCAATGGGAGACACAATGGCTGCAGGTCTCTGGCCTGGATGTTAGAAGGTTAAAGGATAATGTTATAATGATAATGTGCTACTGGATACTTGAATTTCCCTCGGGATAAATAAAGAATCTATCTATCTATCTATCTACTCTGTCACTTAGCCCCAAACCCTTTTGTTTCTACTGAAGACATACATTTTTAAGAAATGTGTCTAGAAGTGTATATACTTTCATTTTTATCTCAATTTTTATCTAAAAAATGGGAATGAGAATAGGCTGTGAACTGTGTAGGAGAAACGACAGGCCCTATCTACAGCCTGTGTTTGCTTTGTCCCTTCTGGGCTACAGTAGAAACATGGTGGTTCAACATGGCGAACTCCATGGAAGGCAACCCGTGTCGTGTAAACAAACGGTTAATTCCAACAACAATTCCTTTATTCAGGTGATTATAAACTAATGAAATATTATATTGATAATCAAATACTGGCCTATAATATTAACATCAGATCTTTTTATCTGTCTCTAATAGAAAACTCTATTAAAGTTCTGAACTGTCCCAACACAACAGAAGATATTTTGAGTGTCTTTTTTCTTTATTCAGGAACTTCGTGGTCTGACCATTCCCCCGCGTATACCACGTCAAATAAAGCTGCCAGCTCATGATTACCTGGCTATGCTCACTGGGTGTGAGCCCAGGCCACAGGGATGACAAATCAGAGCAGGAAAGGGTAACAGGATCCAGTCTGAAGTTTGATACATCGCCTATTATTCTGATAGGAAGCTGTGAGGAGACCCTGCCAAGCCTCTTCTCTAGGTAGTTTATATAAAGTGATTTTAAATGAGTCAAGGATACAATATTCTAAACAAACGTACAACTGTACAGCATAAAGAACAAAAGATTTCATTGGGTTATACCAAAAGCGGATACACAACTGAAGAACTGATTTATAATGACGATACTGAACAGCTACAGTTTTAATTTCATGTGGATAATAGAGTGTTTACATTTATGTATTTATATATTTGGTTCTTTATTAGCATTGCTACATGACCAGTTGTACTTTGTTACTGACTGTGATGCAATAAAGTCTGTATCAGGAAAAATCTATTTGCCAAGAGGAGGATCTACTGTTTACAGACGGTGTGAGATGTGGTGATTATTAGATTGCATTCCGGCACTATTAAAAGATTTTTATAATAAGTACCACAAATTGGATCGACTTTTGTTTACCTTCCCGTCTATGAAAAAAGCTTGTTCCTCCTACAGTAATAGGAGAACAGCAGTTGAAGGAACTACCTCACAAGATCCATTAGTAGCTCATTCATAAAATAAAAATGTGCAGAGAGGAAATTTCATCAACATCAATTCCATGACAACAATGCAAACTTCATCTGCTGAGGAAGATCGTGTGATTTGACTGAAAGCTCCAGAACAGCTACCAATTGAGAGAGTGATTGTTTTGTCAACAACTTTTACTACGTTCTTCGAATCTTTTACTAGATGGTAGAAAAAGGACTTCTGATGAAACTGAACCCTAGATGTTGAAGGTCACTTATATAACGCCGACCCCAGTATCTACTTTGATGCTGCTGTATTTCAAAGTCAGACTGCTACTTGTTTCTGTACAAAATCCTGTCTTGTCAAGGAAACATATTTCTCTTCACTTTCTGGGCACGGAGGACAGTATTTGCATTTTAATGAATAATACACATAATCACAAAATTTAGTAAGTCCATGCTGCTTATGGTATGACAGACGTTGCCTTCTTCCCCACCGAAAACCACAGCTGACAGCGGTATGATTCAACAGTAAGGTCTGTATTTAGAAGATAGTAAGTCACATTTTAATTTTAATCTCTTCACGATGTGTGTGTGTGTGTGTGTGTGTGTGTGTGTGTGTGTGTTCTGGTTTACTTAGTTCTCTTACAGAGTGTGTTCAGGAGGCTACTTTTCCCTGCGTTGGTGGCTCCTGCGATGACCACGTGGACTCCACTGCGTAGCCGCTCGCCCCTCCTCTCATCCTTTAGGTGTCGCTCAATCTCTGCTTGCAGATCACACACCGATCTGTCCACTGTGTGAGAGGGAGATAAAGTCAGAGGGGGGACAGGACGTGACGAAGGTTTCACGTTCAACTTCACTTTCATGGCCTTGAAAAAGGAATTTCTGTCCTTTGAAGGAAAAAGGCCTGTCCTCCAGTGTCTGACACCCTTCGTCTGGATGAAAAATGGGTCACGGACCTGTCCCCTTCCGCATGTGACTAAAGCGGAAAAATGCATCAACAACGCATCATTTTGCTTACGGTGAAAATGTCTAACTTCGTGAGGATCTTGAATCTCATCCAACTTGGGATGACTTGAGATAAAATGTAAGAAAACTTCAGATATAGCATAAAACATGTCATTTGCTATATGACTGCAGGAAGCAAATTAAAGTGTTTATGCCAGGGTTTTCTATTTTTGGAAACTAGTCTATTATTATTTTCCACTCTGAGGCGTGAGCCCACATTTCGTGCCACCAAAACAAACAATAGTTCCCAGGCTTTATTGTGTCGAAACTTCACAACATCTGAGGCCTCTGAAGAGCTCTGCCAGTGCCAGACAGCAGGCGACAGACTCAGGGGAGACATCCCTCACACACACACACATACACAAACACACACTCAGCCTCCCATGCACAGTGAGCATGGGAAACCTGGGCACAGAGAAAACAGTTGGACTGTATGGTACTGCTGACAGCACTATTCCTGTGAGCGACATGGCAGGCTGGCTTTGAAGGCAAGACGAATGCCTCTACTGTCCCCCGGCCTTCTCCCCACACTTCCTAAAGGAAATTGTCTTTTGAGCAGTTTGATGTCTATGGTTTCTCCCTACTGTGCAGCAAACGCACATGATGGCCAGTTGAAGATCCAAACAGGAAAAGCCAGCCGGACTCCTCTCTCCTCAGAGAGAAACAGAGCCCTCTGACCCTTCCTCACCTCCCTCTGAAAGCCCAAGGGATGACTGTTCTGTTATTTTTCTCCAGCACAGAGAACAAAATGTATACGTACCTTGGTTTAAGACCCCATCCTCAATGAGCTCATCCTCGCTGAAGTCTATGAAGGCTTCAACGTGAGCCAGACACTGTGCGACACACAGAGCAGAGAGGAGAGAAAGGAAAAGGCTGGGATCAGTGTGTGAAATACAGACATCTGGGAAACCCCGTGAACACATTTAAATTCATGGTTGGAAAATTAAACAAAGTTTATTTGCATGTTGAAATGTTCTAAGGTGAGCAGCCAGCACAGTAAAACAATACGATGATGGTGAAACCTGTGTACAGTATAATATATTTATCCAAAGGAAAAATAAAGTGTCTTAACAATTCTTACATCCCTAAACAAACAATTAAAAAAAAATTACTATATACTATATATAATGTACTAAATACTACTGACTACACCCTCACCTTTAGTCAAAAGATATTAAAAAAGGTCTTCACATTATACACTTGTTTTAAAATGTTTTCAGTAACATTTCTTATTTGCCTAATGGCATTGAGGAGGTTTCATTTTAAGTAATATACCTATTTTGATTTAAGGCAACATCTAACATTTATTTTAATTGTGAATTAATCTTTTGATTTATTTTTAGATTAATTGCTAAATTACTTGTCAGACAATAGTGACAAATGCCAACAAAGATTTTCAGTTTACAATGATAGGAAGACCGTGCAAAGAAGAGCAATGTAGAACTGTTTCTGCTGAATTTGCTATCGCGTCTGTATTAAACAAACTGGATTTTCTCTAAAAGAAGAACAAACAACTGCACTTAAAGCTTGTGCATATAAGAAATATGTGTCTGACATACTTCCGACAGGATTTTGGGTTAATTTAATTTACCAACTACAATACATCAAACCTTCCATTGGGGTGGCAGTAGCTCAGTCTGTAGGGACTTGGCTTGGGAACTGGCCACCTCGGAGTGCACCTCCTGTGCACTGCCGAGGTGCCCTTGAGCAAGGCAACCTAACCCCAAGAAACTGCTCATGGGGTGCTGCTAATGTGGCAGCCCATCACTCCACCATCTCTCTCCCTGTGTGTTTAAAATAAAAAATAAAAGAGTGAAAAAACAATTTCCCCAATAGGGGATTAATAAAGTACATATCTTATTTTATCTTATCTTATCTTATCGCTCTGACTGGTTGTAGGTCTATCCAGTTGTGTCCAGAGGCATTTTGGTCCGCACCCATCTATAAAGCCCCTTGGAAACAAACTGAGAGGTAATGCCGGGCTATTTGAATCTAGAAAACAGGGGAAAATCCTCAGTATTTCCAACACGGGACCGATCCCTATCTTGACTGACATTGCGAAACATGAACACAATAGTAGTATAGCTGCACAAAAACAGGAAGCGTCTGATTCCTATACTTTAATCCATTCACAAAAGTGGGACGCAAACAGTTAAAAAAAATGCATTGTTTGGGCGGGTGTCACATGATAGTTGACCCCTAATAACATACAGATGGTATATTTCTGATTAACTGGATTCCCAGAAATCTCGTTTCAGAATAATGACACGTCTGAACTGCTTCTAGGAAGCATCCTAAGGAAGCGGCTGATAAGCAGCTTAACAGAGTTTCTCAAGGGAGATCACCTGGACCAGTTGATCAGGTCTGGTGCCAAAGTGTTGAAAGATCATTAGTAATTTTACAGTAAATGATAGTCTGGCTTACTTCCATGATGAAGTGTTCATCTGCAGTCAGTGACCTGCTGCTCTGAACTGCCACAACAAGATGTGAAAGGAAAACTCAACCTCTGACAGGATTAGATGTAAAAAAAGACATAAGAACACAAACATGCCACCATATCAGGGTAATGAGCATGAATAGGATTATCTGTAAGTCTTATTAATGAATGTAACTGGTGCAGGACAACCAAGTGAAGAGGATGAAGTCATCTATCACTCGTTCAGTTCAGTTCAAGGATTTGTCGACAGTGTAGTTTTCCTGAACTTGACGGTTCCGTCAACATTCAACTGTACTTCGTTAGAAGACGTCCTGATAGCCAAATGGTTGGGGCAAAACTGCGTCCTTTTTTTGTTGTTGTCATACCTCTCTTTATCTTTCTCTCCTCATTTCCTGTCTCGCTTTGTGCTGTCAGATGTCAAATTAAACCAAAAAAGACCAAAAAGAAATCTTTCAATTCAGCAAGTCAGTATGTGCGTTCCATTCTTCCTCCCCTCTAATTTATCTTAACTAGACTCAACTTCCTGACCCTCACTCATATATACAGTATACAGTACAGGATACTGTATAGATAAGAAGAACAATACTGCTGCACATAATACGTCAATGTCATTATTGTGTGCCTATCTTACGTGACAGACATACAGCTGCTGTGCTCTGTATAACTTATCTTTAATCCATCCAAAACAATATAAAGCCAGATGTTCTGAGATGGAAAAAAACATTAAATCCACTTAAGAGAAGATGGAACAAGAGCATAGTGCATAAGACAGTCTCCTGTTCTTAGAAAGTTGAGATTCAAAAATAGAGATTTTCCCTTGAAGGCTTATTAGCAGCTTTCCTCAGGAAAGTCCAAATTAACAGCTCACGCACAATGTCTCTCATCACCAATGACTCAGTGACAAGAACACTTGTTTGTATTCGCGACGCTTTTCAAAACAGAGTCACAGTGTGGACCAGAGGAAATGTTCCCTTCAGCCACTTCAGTCATCACATAATAGAAATAACAACAACGGCATATGTCTTAACAAATTAAGACATTTCTTAATCCTTCAGTAGAACTGTGCTCTTATCTGCTGGGAAATATACTATTACTAAAGTACACTGGAAGGGCTCTACGATTATATTATATTATATTATATTAGCAATAAAATCAATTACAACCCAATCTAATTCAAATTTTTAGGCTGATTACAAAGTACAAATTAGATTTTAATCTTTTTTGTTAATTTTGATTATATTTTTTTACCTGCACAATAATTTAGCAACGTGTTATCTTGACTCCAGGGTGAAAAAATTTAATTATTCAGGTTTTTTTTTAAACCCGATTACAATGTAAGACAAATTGCATGTTCCATACAAACTAGTATTTTGATTCGCAGTATTGAACAGAGGCACGTCCTGCACGTACTACAGCAACATGAAAACAGGAAGCCTCATATTCCCATAAGTTAATCCATCAAGGGTGTGTTACGAAAGCAGCTGTAGAGATATTAAAAAAAAGAACAAAGCATTGTTCAGGTGTGAAACAACTGAGGCCTGACCTACAACACAGTACAGACAGGTTCTTTCCAAAACACTGTTTTCGGAGAAATGTCAGACATGAACATGGACAAAGTCTCTCTGGTGAGCTCTGAGCTCGGCTCGTTTCTGCTGTCAAACTAACTCAGATTTGGTACAACATTGTTGATCACTTTCTAAAGGCTCCCCGTTCACCTGTCACTTCTGCTACGTGTCATTCTGTGTCCTGTTATTGTTTTGCTTGTGTCTGTCTGCTCTGTGTCTTTGTGTTCTAGGTGCAGCTCAGTGATCACTGATGGAGGGCACCTGTTTGAAGCTGTGGGTGAGTCTATTTCAGTGACTCACACCTGAGTCCCTGACACAAGACCCAGCTTAGATTTGGGCAATATGGTCTAAAAGTAAAATTAAACGTAAAGTTGAATTGATCGATTTAATCAATTTATTGCCCAGCTCTATAGTGTCAACTGTTACTGTTTTATCTACACTATATGTGCATTATGATGTGTTGTGTCAGTGTTTTGTGATGAGCATGTGCATACTGTCACAACGTAAACTGTGTGGACCCCAGGAAGAAAAGGAACTGTTAATGTAGAAGCTAATGGGGGTCTTAATAAACAAACAAGCAAACAAACAAACCCAGCTTTTTGTTTGTTCCCTTAATTTAACCTTTAACCTTTTGTAAATAAATTATATTCTTTTGTATCTAACTGGTGTGGTGTCCTTCTTATGTTACGGCTTTGAAACCGGTTGTTACATAATGGGGGCTCGTTCAAAGCTCAGTTCGGAGTAGATGAGTTAATTACCCGTTTCAGTCTGTAGCTCCAGTCCTGATAAAGGTGTCCCAGCTCTCCTGACATCTGCCTGAGAGCCTGCCTCCTCTGGGCCTCTGTCTCAGCATGGATCAGATCCCCGAGCCCCTCCACCTTCAACGAGCATTACAACAGTTATAATTGCCACAACATTTTTTTGTTTTTTTATGTCCTGCACTGAATGATTTAATTCTGACTAGCTGTATGACTCAAACATTTTCCCCCAAAATGTGTATTATGTATTATCTACAGAACGGGTTATATGGTTTTATAAGCATGTGATGCACGAAAGGAAAAAGGGATTTTTTTTATGTTATGCTTTGCCTCTGGTAAGATTGAAACTGTCAACCCATGCAGCGTGTCCTATGGACAGTCGTGTTTTACACAAAATATGCAGCCAGGTTTATGTAATCTGAGTGAGGGGCTAAAATACATTTAAACATTTTCCGGGACAACATTGTTAATTTCAAGGATATCTGGTAATTTTAATACATTTCCAGTTGTTTCCATGACTGGAAATCTAGTAGTTGCAACACATTTGCATTGATAAATACTCAGTTTACTGTATACTGAAAATATTTACTCTGAATCACATTGTACTGTAAAGAGAATATACAGAGCAGTCCCTCATTAATGTTAATGTTAAGGCGGCATACTTTGCTGCTTTTTGAAAAATTCACCACCTACAGAAACCCAGTAGCTTTATTTATGCATAAATGTTTGACAGCCCAATGAAAGAAGCGTTCAAAGGGCAACATATGTAAAAGGAGAAATTTTCACTGTTGACATTTCATGAACTTGAAATCCCTGTTCAATTCTGACCTTGTTTAATCCACATTTACCCTCTAAAATTACTCTGAAAAGCTCTCGATACCCAAACATGCACAGATCTGTCTTTACATGCTCTTCTTGACCCACCTCTGTTAAACCCAGTTTCCCTGCTTGAAAGGCTCTCCGCGTGAACTCTCCAGCTTCTGCAGGCCTCATGCCAGGCACGCTTCCTGACAAACAACAACACACACACAGCATAACAAACATGAAGAAATGTATGAGGCACGCGGTGGCCATGCATCATGCACACAACACACACAAACAGATCAAACAGAAGGTCAATATGTCACATGTCACTCAGGGTTCACTTGGAGTGAAAATAGGCACAAGTGTGCAGGTTAAAGAGGTGACATTGTCATTGTTTTCACAACCATTTTTCCCAAGTCTCATCAGGAGGAGACAATAGTGAGTATAAAACCATTTGCCAAATGGAGGTTGTGATCTGTTAACTGGAGTAAAATATTCAGCTTTATGTTCTACTGCCTGGTTAATATCTTACCAACATTGTCACTACCTTCCATTTAGTTTAAGAAATGAGAATGATCCAGAAATATCATATATGCAGCATTGTAATGTTTTTCAATCTAACAACTCCTGATTAGTGATGCTCTTACATTAACTGGAGACAAGCATTCATTAACATTTCTGATTTATACAATACTGCCCTCTGGAAGGCCAATGGGAGAACTGCAGCTCAGTATTACTTGTCACTCACAGTAGGATTGCCACGCTTGCCAAGGTGCGTATTATAAGTATCTTAGAAATATGAAATGCATGTGTCAGGTTTCCCCTTTAAATCACAGTGATGGACGGCCACATGACTCCACTAGTAAGTGTGTTTAGAATTCTTATGCACCATAAACACCCTGCAAAGTGACACTGCAACACAAGACAGTGTATGTGCGTGTTATACTGCATTATATCAAGGTGTTTAACATTGTAGCATACTCATAATGACATCTGTACGTTACCAAGGGCCTGTAAGACAGCAGTAATGACAGCAGGACCACCGTGGATGTGGAACTCCACACAGTCCTCTCCTGTGAAACTGTGAGGAGCTGATGACATGAAGACAAGAGAGACAATGAAACAGTCAGAATATCCTTAAGTCTTTAAAAAATGCACAAGATAGTTTCACTTAAATTCAGCTTGTACTGCTTTGTGTTAGTTGCTTCCCCCATTATTGCTGATGTTTATTAATGTTCACCATTGTTGGTTAGTGCGGCGTGAATTTTTTTAAACTTCTGAAGGAAGCCAGAAATGTTTGAGAGACACTGTTTTAGCCCATTTACTACAAATCAAACAAGCTTTATATTACTATTATATTCAGAGTGGTATAAACCTGCAGATACTTGAAACTTGATTGAGACAAGTAATGTTTAACATTCATGTTTTCCCTTAACACAAACATATCTGATGCAAAACAAATTCTAATATGAGACAAAGTGTATTTTAAACGCCATCTGCATTCATATTATCTTACACTGTCCTGAATAATATTGTCTTTTGTTTATAAAAACTTTTGTAGGAGAAGGAAAGTAGACAATGGGGTGTAAAAAAAAACACATTACAAATTAGAAATGTGAGGAAGGATTGAAAGCAATTAAATGTGTGTGTGTGTGTGTGTGTGTGTGTGTGTGTGTGTGTGTGTGTGTGCCAAGGGTTATGGTTAACAGACCTGGGAACCAGAGGACAAGTCCACGGTCCAGCACTTCTTTTGATTGGGGATCTGTGATGCTGCGTAAAAGGGCGGTGCGTGGAGGAGGAAGGCTGCGTGTGAGCCCGGCCATACACCGCAGAACTGTGGCTGAAGCTGGACCGCTGGCTCGTACCACAGCCACCCCACACCTGCCGTGGCCCGATGACAACGCAAAGATGGTCTCAGCATCAGCCAGTCCAACCGGGAGTCCATCGCAACTGGACAAGAATCTGCGAGGTGGAGTTCCTCTGCTGGAGATAAGTAAATAGTAAGACACACTTGTGATTATATTCTGGACTAAAGAGACACACCTGTATACTCAAGAGCCCCAAAACTGATAGAAGGTAATGAAAGGTTGTCGGATAAGTCAAAAATATAATGACAATGAATAATAAGGTTAGTTAAATAATAAAAATAGAGTGTAAAAAGAATAATAAAGCCTTATGTTTGTATGTATTTAATCAAAGAGGAAAAAATACTATTCTATTCTAAAGTAAGAGTATGAAGCTTTATATTGATTTTTACACTCAGATTTTATTATTCAACTACCAGTATCATTTATTGAAGTGTTGAGTTATATATTTGACTCATCCTTTGGGGCTCCACAGTTGCATGTACTGTAACAACATACAGGAAAACATATCTGAAACGAACAAGCAGGACTCAGGAGGACTATTAGTGGCCAAACAGATAATAAAGTGGAAATTTCTGTAACAAACCTTGTCCTTAGTGTGTGGACAGCAGCTCTCCATATCCCATGATAAACGGATGGCAGCATAATTATCTTAACACATTAATACCAAACGTTTCATGAACTTGCTTGTTTCTCGTGTGGCTGATTTTAAGAGACAGACATTACAAAAACACACTCTGTCCTTGACTAAATCATTATTTTTTTTACCTTATTCCAACGTAAGTTAATGTTGTAATAACCTGTGAACGTAACGTTAGCTGGTAAACAAGTTTATCATCCACCACCGATTAGTTTTATTGTCCTTTACGTTTACATTTACCACGATGGGTCTGTTGCTGCCTCTGTTGATTGTGATTGGTCGGCGCTTTCAGCAATAGTGGCGGGTTCTGCTGTCCCATTTGTTCAGGAGCCTGTCAATCTTCAGTTAGTCCCGCCCCCTGTGCGGCAATTAAATCAGTCCGTGTAGCTACAGTTGCTCCAAGGGTAAAATATAGGTATATAACGTGATAATAATAATAACTTAAAATATAGTAGAAAAAATTAAATGTAAGCTAAAACACATATGCTTTTAATTTTAATATACTTTATCAATTATTTTTTTTAAATCAAATCAAAATATAATACAATACAGTCGGTTTCTTTCTTAGCAGTAGAGTAGTAGATGTGCTGAATTAATTATCAGATACATTTAAAAATATATTTTAGTTGTAGTTAGTAGTATTTTAGGACAAAAAAAAGCAGTCGTGCTTCTCAAAAAACATTTAAATACGACATGGTGTTTTGTCTGATATGTTTTTGTTATTAAAGCTGATTTTCTGTATACACTTGTGGGTGTTTTTGACATTTTGCCCATCCCATACATATCAGTGGAGGTAGACAGAATATTAAAAAACATATCTTATATATATTTAAACAAAAACTCAACAGCGGCACCACAGTCTCTAAAATGACCACAGAGTTCAACCAGCACTCCTCTGAAACAGTTTCATGAAGGTATTGCAGGGCTGTTGAAATAGGTCTTGGTTTTGGTTAGGTGTAATAAACTGGTATGTGTTAAATAATATATATTTTTTGTTTTACTGCAAATCAACTCTGTCATCATGTTAATTTAAGATAAAGTTAAAGCACCACTCACTGTTTTGCTCAGTTTTTGTAGCATATACTAAAAAATGTTGGCTCCAGTTCTTCATGGCCTACATACTTCATGCATATCACAGAGTATAAACATAGAGTAAAGGCTACATGTGCACTGGTGTGTATATGTGCCCCACTGCAGCTCCTTGCAGCTGTCAGCCCAGAGGATGGTGAGTAAGCAGAATCTCTGCTCAAAGACAAGGTACTTCTGAGCGGTGAGCCATGCGAAGGGGGAGGGCTGCCTGCCTGCATGGCTGTACAGTGAAACGCGGCATCCAGGAGGGCCCGGCCAAGAAGAGAAATTGTGTACATGTCAAAGAGGCATGGCCTGAAGCCCAGGGAGCAATCTTTAACCTGAGATCTCAATAATTTATTGGCTGCTCTGTGTGTGCACAAAGCATGACAGCTGCCACCTCACAGCTGTTGAGCACCATCAATACACAAACATCTTTGTCTCTTCTGACCCAAAAGGCTGTTAATCAAACCATAGATCTGACTAAAGATGATGAAATTACCTCCACCCTGCGTACACACACACACACACACACACACACACACACACACACATTCACACCTTTTAACACCTCCACTAGTTGTACAACTGCACACTATGGTGATTTATGACATACACATGTATTACAGTGTTTGTTTTGAAGGATGCGTTTGGGTGTAGGCTGGTTTTGGCATAGGTTGACTATTGTTTGCATATTTTAAAACACAGTTTGGTTGGTAAAGTAGGCCTTTATGCTCATAGTTTGTTGATGTGGATGATAGTGGAGGATCTGTCCAAGCAGCAGTTTGTGCAATAAAAGTTGATATTATACAGCTGCTGCATACAAAGTGTGTACTGTAGAGTGTCCGATGGACTAAAGTGAGAGACATTACTTGTCCCTAGACCTGAGTGTCACTAAAAATTTAATCTATGAGGATATTTTTTGCATTAATAAATAAGTCATAGTCTATTTAATCTTCCAGGACAAGCTTGCATTCACACTCACAGAGAAGCAAAAGTCTACCTGCTGGACTGCAGGAAGCACCTGTCTCAGGGACCCGCTGCTGAAAGGATTACTGTGTTTTAATTAAAGGTGGGTACATAAATATATGAAAGAGAGCAAGAAATAACTCAATAACTACATTTTATGAATGCAAAACATGCATTTTGTGTCTCTGGGTTTTGCCTTAAAGCGGATTCTATTTCTGGCACCAATGTGAAACCTGTCTGCTGCTGGCGAGGTCACTGTCGGGCGATAAACATAAACACTTCTCCTGGAGGACGGCGAGACCGCTGAGTGATATATCACTATTTTATGTTCTTCAAATATGTCTGTGAGGGTTTTTTTTAAGTCTTAAAGTGGACTGTGCATGAAGTGGGGTTGCAACAAGAGCTTCCTATAACTTGACTTCACATTTTTAATCTCTGATGAAGGAATTCCTGACTGATTGCAATCTGGGACATAAAATCATCCGGCTGCTATATTGAATTGTTGTAAAGTGTGTGTGTGTGTGTGTGTGTGTGTGTGTGTGTGTGTGTGTGTGTCACCCAGCCCCCCTCCCCTCCTCCCTCCCTCTCTTTGTCCCTCCTCTATAGTCGTTGGAGGAGCGCTCTCCATCTAGCCGCGCATCCTGCTCCAGAGTACCACCGGGATGATCCGCCGCTGCACCGACACCGACAACCTTCACTTCACTTTCACACTCACTTAACCCTTCACTCGGACCCCCGCCGGCCGCCGCGCTACACCCATGCTTTGCCCTCCTCCTGAGATGCGATACCATTGCACAATTTCCCGGAGAATATCTTCATCTTCCGTCGCTCCTCGCTGATAGAGAGCATGCCCGACACGGGGACAGGCGCCGCAGTCGCGGCGGCCGCCAGCGGTGCGACCACCGCCGGCGACAGCACCGAGAGCTCCCGGCACCGACACCGAGCGCAGCAGGGAGACGCGGAGAGGCCGGAGCCGGGCGCTGCCCCGCCGCAAGCCTCCTCCGGTGTACTGGGTGAGTCGAGCAGTGCGTGTTTCGCGTTGGACGATGCGGTTTTGGGAAGGAGAGATGGGACAGGTGAACGTGATGTTGGGAGACGAGCACCCGCACCGTCGCACATCTCGCGGCACCCGTTCTTTTGTCTCCACGAGGACGTCCCAAAAAATGACCAATTGATTAGACCACAGGCCTTTAAATGATAGCTTTGACTTGTATTGCATGTTCCTGTGGCAGCGGTTTTCTAAAATTAGCCTATTGCTATTATATCCTCTCTTTAGGAAAATGGCCACACTGGAGCACATGCTAGCGTCTGGTTTTGACCTTATTGGCGGTTTTTGTATGTGAGCCTGTCTCCTGTCATGACAAGCCTATTTCCACAGTATTCCTGTGGGTGCTTGTACTTAATTGCTGCTATAGTGGAGCATCCTCATAGGCTGCTAGTAGGCTATGATTGTCTGCTAGTTGTTTTTATTAAAGGAAGTTGTGTGTTATCTATGAGGGCTGCTCATCTTTTCCTCCAAATGTTTATTAACTTCATGATGTCATCCTGGGATTTCTAAACTACTGACTAGACTGCTACTGTCTATAACCCTGCCCCAGTATGAGTTGCCATGTTATTGGATAGTGCAGGTGCATGTTTTGTCATTTTAATGAGTGTTAAGCTATAAAGGCTGCCCCTCTCATAATAATATTCTTATAATTTGCTATTATTATAAGTGTGTTGTTGTTTATATCCTATATTATCCTTAAGGGAGTCCTAAAACCATAGTATTATTTACCTTTTTTTTAAGACAATGTGAGCATAACAAACATGCTTTCTGTTTACACTCCATGACACTAATAGTAGATTTGAATAGACCATATCATAGTCGTCTCGTTGCGAGAATTGCAAGCGAGGCTATTTTTGGAACAGACCACAATATTAGCCTGGGTAGAGAGAGCCTCAGCTGCCGAGCCAGGGTTGTTTTCCTGCGTGCTGGGTGCAGAGACAGTCTCTGTGCTCCCTGCGAGTACTGCTGCAGAGTGATGCAGTGGAGCAGTGGGCTGTCAGCGGATGAGCGCTCCCTTCCACACTTGGTCGAGGTAACCTGAGCAGGTTGCTGCTGAGTGGAAGAACAGCCTGATGTCATCCTGTTGAGAGGGTGGCACCTGGCGGCGCCATCCGGGCCCTCGACTGGGTCACAGGAGGGTTGAAGGGTCAGCAAAGTGAAGATTATATAGATTTTACAGTTACTTCATTAGCTAGGAGCAGCACTGAAGGGTAAGGAGGAGGACTGGGAGTCTAAACCTGTAAGGGTAAGCAGATAGCAAACATCTTCACATGTAAGCATTTACTGGTATCAAACCCTTAATGAATTGGGTCAGTGGTCTATAATGTGTAGGGCTGAATATACTTAATACCTTTGTTACTGATCATAATGTATCTGTAGTATCAAGTAGCTGGCATCAAATCCCCGGTCTGATTCATAATCTTGCAGCGTTATTCTTTGATCAGATACTTCCTGATTCAAAATAAGAAGCTTGACAATTTTAGTTAAAATGGATTCTTCTATGGCTGCATGTGTTGAGACATCAATAGGGTATCGATAATGTTTTGTTTGGCTAACAGTAGGGCTGCACGATACAGTAAAAATACTGCACGATATCATTCACGATTAGTGTGAATGATCCTTTCTGCAATCACAATTTTAATGTTCTTTGAAAAAAACTAATAAAATTGTGATGATGTGACAAACAAATATGTTTTCTTACATCTGGAGAACAAGATTTTTAGGCCAGGGAATCTCTGCAGCACCACAGTGTTTCATTATATCACTCATTATAATGCGGTTTTGATACACATAATTGTAGCTTCTTGCAATTTCAGTAACATTGTGATTAATTGTGCAGCCCTAAGCTATCAGTACAGAAAACTCAGGTAGTGTAGTCGTGTTGAATTTCGAATGATACCCAGGCCTACATAAATGTTTCTTCTTGAGTTCCTTTGACATGAATACATTTTTAAATTTAAGCCCACCACTTGGTTGGGGAATGTCCTTGTTAAAGTACCTACGTTAAAAAGCCTTTATTATTGTGGCTACATGTTAACAAACAAAGACTAATGCACATTGACTGCAGGGTCAAACAATCACAGACAAGTGAATCATTTAAGTACAACCTTCAATGAGACATGATCATTTCCGCAGCCACATCCGACTCCCTCTTTATGGATGAACCCAAAGTCACAGATAAC